ATTTATGATGCTAAAGTAAAAAACATTTCTCTTTGAAAATAAAACAGCCAACTGTTAAGGCTGATTCTTTGAAGTCCACTGCGTGAACTTTACTAACTCCCTGCTTAATATTAGCTAACCCATAACTGAACTATATATCTGTCCTGGTTTTGGCTGGGATAGAGTTATTTTTTTTTCCTAGTAGCTGGTGTAGTGCTGTGTTTTGGATTTAGTATGAGAATAATGTTGATAACACACTGGTGTTTGTTTTAGTTGCTGCTAAGTTATGTTTATACCAGCCAAGGACTTCCCAGCTTCCCATGCCCTGCCAGGTGCACAAGAAGCTGGGAGGGGGCACGGCCAGGACAGCTGACCCAGCCTCTCCACACGGCTATTCCATACCGTATGGCATCATGCCCAGTATATAAACTGGGGGGAGTTGGCTGGGGGGCAGCAATCGCTGCTCAGGGATGGGCTGGGCATCGATGGATCAGCGGGTGGTGAGCAATTGCCTTGTGCATCACTTGTTTTGTATATTCTTTTATCATTATTATTATTTTCTCTTCCTCTGCTGTCCTATTAAACTGTCTTTACCTCAACCCACAGGTTTTACTTTTTTTTCCAATTCTCTGCCCCGTCCCACCAGGAGGGGGAGGGGTAGTGAGCAGCTGTGTGGTGCTTAGTTGCCAACTGGGGTTAAACCACAACAATATCCTAAATCATTCATCAGGCTTGAGTTATCCCTATAGGTAAGAAAAGGAAACATCAAAATCGTACATAAACATTAAGTGAAATACTTCTCTGATTAGTAAGATGTTCAAGAAATGTCTCCAGTACTGTAAGTCAGTTTTATTTAAAAAATAGAGTCCAAACATTGTTTTTGATAAGGTGCAACATATATACTGTTTTCTACAATTAGAAAAACCAAGACCAAAGCAAAACAATATTCATAATTATAGTGTCATTACAACACAGAATCAGTGGGTCTCTTGTAATTCTTAAACATTCATTCCCTGCTTCATCAAAGCATAAGAATTAATAATTATTATCACTGTCACAGCCAAAGGGTCTGGCTAATGTCATCCATGTTCTGTACTTTAAAATAAACTTTCTAGTACAGATTGCTTCAAGTACACATCAGAAGCTGAATGTAACTGTAACACAGTTCATGCAAAACAAAGGTACAATACTGAACTTGCATCATTTAAAGATTTTTTTGTTCTCTTGTTTAGTTTAACATCTTTGAAGTCCAACTGCTTGAACACGAGGATTGAACTGAGGTTGCATAAAGTGAGCACTATATACTAAAGTTCTTACGTAACTCTCAGATTGATCAGGCTACGTGACTATCTTGAGCTCTAAAAATTCAAATAAGTACTTAAGGCTGAGATCTATGCCTCTTGGAGTCTATTCAGTAACTTCTGAGACATATTTGGGAATACAGATGGAAAACAGTGACTGATAATGGGCTTGTTATGGGGAAATACATTAAATCATTACCTCAGAACTGAATTTTTTGAGAAAAGCATGTTATTAATCTATGTTAAGAGTGCTCCTCATTCAGCCACTCAAGCTAAAAGAGCAATGAAGACTATAGCACGGAGGAAGTTCAACAGAAAGATTTACAGCCAATTACTGTCTCTGGAAGTGTCTAAAGTGCTAAATTTTCTAATTAGCAAAGTCTGTCCTGTTTCAAAACCCTTCTTGTCATTCTAGCATCACCTCAGCCTTGGTAACGCCAAGCAGCTGAAGTTAGCTATGGCTATGCCATTTCTGGAGAGCTAGATATCAATCCCTGCTCTAAGGGGGTTTAATGTATTTTGATCAAGGAGCAGCAGTCTAACCACACATGTACAGTTACACATCCAAACCTTTTTTCCTTGACACCTTAGATATTTAAACCATTCCATATAAAGAGGAACATTTGACAGAAAAGAGCTGGACGCCCATTTACCTGCCTTCTGCTTGGGAGGTAGTCCCAGGGTCAAACTGCACCCGCAATAAGTGCATAAACCTCAATTCCTTCTGTTGTTTCTTCCAAACCACCATGCTGGTTTTACGAATCCTGTTCTTAAGCCCTGAGGGCTCCTCATGTGAAGTCTAATAAGACAAGGCAACAAGCTATCATGGGGCTGACTTTTGGTTTTAGTGGATCAGGGCTCTGGCCATTAATGGGAATTAGCCACAAGAGTTTACACCTATGCATAGCCACAGACTGAGCTTAAGCTGATAACCCAAGTCATTATCCAAGTGAGTTTGTGTTCATGGCCAGTTTAACCACAGTTAGGTGACTCTGTGTCTTTTTCTCAGAAATGACAGTTTTTTCAGTGTTGATATACCATGCTGGTTCCTGTAGCAAACATTGCCCTCAGTACTATCAATGCTCTTCAGAGTTAGCTCTGCCGTGGGCAGCAGGGACAGAAACTTCCTTGGCTAACAGAAAAGGCTTTAGATCTCTCCTTTTCCCTGGCGTACATGAAGCCTTGAGTTTGATTTCAAATAGCAGATAAATTCACTTCTCAATTTGTTTCTCTTGGGTTATGAGCAAATGAGGTATTTTAGTGTTCAAGTGGGGAGCGTATGCACACTTGTTTCCTATGTAAACATAATGGAAAGTGTTCATCAAACATGTATGTATTAACATTAAGAGCTATAAAAGTGAAACGTAGAACAGAGTCCTTCAGTTTTAATTTCAGAACAAGATTGCCCTCAAAAGTCAGTCTATCTATCTTAGTCCAAATCCCTTGGAATCTAGTTTTGGGTAGGAACTGACATTCGTACTAAGCCCCTTTTGGGTTTAGTTATGGGAATGCACTGATTTTATGATGGCATCTCTGGTCAAATGAGGGAATCCAATGTTTATGAGCTTGGTTGTTGACTTGGTTGGGTTTTTATGAGTTTGACTGATGATAGCTTCATAGAAAAACATAAGAAACAACAATATTATGTTGTATTTCCTGTTTTCAGAAGGAAAGGGCTGCTCAATTCTGTAGTTTACATAGTTTGAACAATATCCCTTTAATAATACATTGTACTGCAGATGTTCAGTTAACAAAAAAAGTATACACTGAAATATTTATGGGCTTTGGCCAGAGCTACATATATTTATGTCAGTCTGTTGCAAACACCATTGTTAAATGGAGTACTTAGCAGATTAAAATAATCCCTTTACTTCCGTTTCTTTTACTTAAACAATTTGGGCCATACTTTGTGTGAATGCAGTGGGACGCATGCCAGAAGGAAGCAGGGTCACTGGAGATAAGAGGCGGAATTTGTGACATTTAACTTTGCGCATCTAACTTAGGGTGCACCTGGCTAGTTGTCTCAGTTCAGGGACACAATAATCATGCACATTGCCTACAAGTTGGATCAACAGTCTGGCTTTTGTTTGGAGTAAGCAACAGGCTCTTCTGGCATGAAAGGACTCCCCTCATCCCTGTCCATGAAGACCATCTGGACGCAATGGACTTGAGCTACTGCTATCTGTATGAATTTGAACAAAAATACCAGAAGTCTTAGATGGCTAAATGAAGGGTCCAGGCTCTCAGAAGGTCTGAAGGGGATTCAGGGCATCTAAGTTAGGATGCAACCTCTCTCCAATCTTTAAGTATATAGTTATAAAGCAAATGCTGGGCAGTGTGGATTATGTGTTACTGAGAGTAGAATTTGGTCTTCTGTTACTGATAGCAGTAAAGTGCTAGTATATTAACACAGACAACATTGAGTCTGTGCATCTCACATAGGATCAGAACAAGAGTTTAGGAAAATTTAGCATTTTTACCTGAGTGACTTGGAGGTCCCTGCTGGGGGCTGTTAAATCTTGTGTTCTTGCTGCAAACAGATCAATAATTAAAGCTTTGCTATCATTTGCATTCTCACTCCCTTTGATCTTATCCAGCCACAGTGTTGTGGGGATGGATTCCACAGTCCTACAACTGGTAGATGCATAAAGAGTAGATCTGCTAAAGAGTAAATGTCTGTGACTGTTAAATCAACTTCAGAAGTCCCTTGGCAAGTGCAGACAAATGCCAAGAAACAGCAATGACCAACTAAAAGGAGAGTCAGGAATCAATGCGGAACTTCATTAGTTTGTGAAAAATGATGATGTACACAAGGGGAGACAGGTGAGGGATTCAATCTCTTGTCACTAACATTGATAAGAGTTGGATACCAGTCTCCCTTCAGTGCCTTTGAAAATTCCTCCACAGGCTTCCATTTTTTTTTCCTGTTGTTAGAGCAAACCACATAATACTAAATATTACAGTACCTGTATGCAAAATTGCATAGAGAAATAATAAATCCTTACAAACAAGTCACATTTCAACATTAATAAAGGGAAGCTGATTGACAGAAATGCTAAACTGTATAAAATTCAAAGGACTAAAGCAGGGAGCAGGGGACACTATGTTTTGAAGGGACTTGAAACGTGTTCTTGCTCCTTTGACTCCAGTCCTGATTCACTTAGCTTTTACAAAAATAAATGAAGATGACAAAATTTTTCATTTTAAAATATGACCATTTTTTCCCTCCTGAAAATGGTATAATTCAGTAGCAAATAAATAGCCATGATTTCAGTAACAAAAACAGCTGACATTACTCCTGTACACTCTCTAGTTTGGAACACAAACCTTTATATCTGTTAACAGCTTATACATAAACTGTATCTGCTAGTCTTCACACCTGCCTCAAGAGTCACCGTGAACATTGATGCATCCCACTGGCACTCCTGGCTCTGTCTCTAAGCACTACATCACTTACACCCACCAACGCTCCAATTGAGCTGCTGGGAAGGAATCTCATTAAGGAAACACAGCTTGATGTCTGCAGCTGCTCGGAGCTTCTAAACTGCCTTCCTCATTAAATAAGTGCCATCTTGCATCCACTCCCTCTGTCAGAGGCATATTGGGCCATTCCTCATACACGTTACATTTTCTCTTTAAACAAAATGAAACACCAAACATAGCCTTTGTGTTAATCTAGAAGGGATTCCTTTGGGGTTACTTTCTTCTTCCTTTACCAGTCTAGTTAAACATGATAGATTCAGGGTCCTGGTTTGCCATTTGAGCCATGTGTCTTAATACATCCTTTTTAGTTATGATACCCAGCAGCCTCCTACAGGAGAAAAGGAAAGAAAAGGTCAACAATAATTTCATATATCATCCGTTTTTTTCCCCTGGTTCACCTGCAGGGACATTTTGTGAGTGCTTCCATATAGCACTGTCCATCTCATCTACTCCCCAATGATTATCTTTTATAAAAAGGTTTCTCACCTCACCTGGGGTATTTTTAATACCCCAGCCATGATCATCAAGTGAAATACATCATTGGGTTGTTACCTCTTTTTGTTGGGATCATGACTCAGTGAGGAGCTACAACTACTGACACTTTGTACAACAAAGTAATCAGTTTCCTTAGGCTCAGGCTGCAGAGGATCAACAGCACAAAACCAAGGCACCAATGCCCTAAGCTAGGGCATGTGGTTTAGTTATACATGAACTAAGCTAAAGGACAGACTTTCTGAAACTCTCACTGTCTGACAGCATAATTCCTTCAAATCTGAGTGATAATTTCTCATTTACGTGAACCTAAATGAATTATACCTGCCAAGAAAGATGAGGCCTATGGGATGGCTGGCCCCAAGAGTCAAAAATTTCCTAACCCTCAGTATTCAAGGGCTTTTATTTCCACTCCTTGAAGGCCACAAGGAACTGAATTTTGAAACTATGTCATTGTTATAGTTTTTCCACCTTTTATTTCTTGCAAGTGCTAGAACTGAAGATCAAAATTTCCAAATCCAAGTACTTAAAATCAGGACCTAAATCTGTGTCCCAATAATTGTCCTTATTTTCTTAATGCTGAGGACTCTGCATTGATAGTAACAGCTGCAATATATTTCAATAACAAAAAGGCTTTTTGTAGAAGACTAAATTTTAGTCTTCCGCATTTGAAAATGATGGCTCTTGTTTTGCTATCCTGTTGTAATGCTTCTTCTTACTACTAGATCCTGGGATGAGAAATGCTCCCAAAATACCTCAAATCCCATTGGAATTATGGGATGTTATTTCTAGTGCACATGGTGCAGCTTTTTACTCTTCTAATTTCATGTTTGCCCACACTTCCGTTTTTTGTGGACTTTCGGTTTATATACCTTTCCGTTTTCCTTTAAAGAAAGCTGAGCAGATTAATTTTCCTCCACTGACATCTCTATCACAGTCTTCACAACCTAGCTGGCCTGTCTAGAAACAAGCACATCCTTTGCCAACAATACTACTTGCCAGATCTGCCTCTGTTGAAAACTGAGCGATAGTGGGAGTCAGAATGGTTTATTTTGTATTTATCTTTACCTTACCTAAATGACAATACAATAAGGATTTGGGAGAACAGAATGAAACATGACACCTGGCAAGGGCCATTTTGGTTCTGAGTCTGACTTCTTTTGCTGCCCTGGAGAGACACAGGGCGAGCTTCCCTTATTCTTTCATTCACAAAGTAGACAAAAATCAAAACATTCACTTGACTGTCTCAGAGGTGCTGATTAATTAGCTACTGTCTATACTTGGCTTTAAACAGGAAAAATGGTTTTTTTGTTAATGCTGAAGAAAATCTCCTCAGATTCTCTAAGCGTGCTTGACTCAGCATCTACTCACCCACTGCGAGTGACAAGACACTGCCGGAGTCCGAGTTTCCGGAAAATATCTACCACAGTCTCCATTGGTGTGTGGTCGGTGACAGTGAAAGGGCTCAGGTTGAGAATACGCCGCAGCTTCAGTGGATGGGGACTGTTGGGTGGCAGTTCTGGGGGGTCTTCAGTGAAGTACACGATGGAGTTACTTACCACCCCATCCTGACGCTGCCTTGCATTCTCTGTACAACAGAAAGATCAAGGTAGACAGTGAGTTAGGCTTGATAACAAAACAAAAAAAAATTATCTTCCTTTGGAAAGCAAAAGTAGAAGTAGCTTTTTTTCTTTAACGTACTGAGGCCCTGGAAGTTGGGGTTACAGAGCAAACTTGAATTTCCTTGAGACATTGTTCCCTTGAAGCAAATGTAAGTGATATTTTTACAAGCACATACTTTTGCTTGGTTGGGATAATGCTTTTCTGAATAAATATGCAGCTCATTGCATTCACAAACATCACTAATCCAATTTCTGTCAAATTCAAATGATTTTATGTCATTTCCTCCATTGTGAGAATCACAACAGGAACTACTATTATATGCCCAAAAGAGTGGAGTCAACAGCCTGTGTACAGTCACAGCTGCCTTGGAGCAGTAAGTTTGTTCCCACACTTCTCAGTGGAGTGGGGGAAATCTGGGCATAGTGAATGGATTTATGAACACAAATTCACATCCCAGGGATCTGGGGGTGGTGCGGGTGTTGTTCTAGACCAGCACACCTTTCTGGCATGCAGGGTGAATTTTGTGGTTGTGTACTTAATGTCTTAAATAGAGTTTGCATATCTAGATTTTAAAAGGGCAGGAAAAATTAGCATCCTACTTAAAGGAAAATAATAAAGGAAGGAACAATATATATCAGTAAATGAGTTGTTAGATACATTTTTCTCAACAGTACAGATTTGACCTCTTTCAGAAGTTCAGAAGCTATCGTTCATACTTTGATCAAACTACGAAGTGAACTTTACACCACATCTGGACTTTACATGATTAGCATAAGCCTTTTCCTTTAAAGTATGCTCCAACAAGAATTCTTAGCACTGAAGGAGTTTATTTTCTTTGTAGTGTTTACCTCATTTCTACTCAACACTACAGAGCACAACCAATATATGAGATGGATTTCCAAATGACAGACAACTTCTCTCTCCTGAATAAGCATATCATGTGTTTGGCTCTGAAGGTTTAACTCTTTCTCCTTTTTTGTATAAATTCTTGGAAATGGCTGGAATTATTATCTTTGATTAATATAGGTTGCTTCTGTTCTTGAGAGGTACAGCAAATCAGACATACTCAAAGCGTATGTATATTTTCCTGGAGCTCATTGCCATCAATCAAAGTGCAGAAACCTGCTCCTGTGACTTGTAATGTGTAGACAGTAATGGTTTCCAACATGTTCCAGCTGCATTTTTTTCCCTTTAATGATCATTGTCTTGTAATATTTCTGGAACTGGAGCAGTTCTGGTTCAAACCTAATATCAGTACAGTATATGGTTTTCAACCTTCTCACCCCACATATTACAAGCCCTATTGCAATTTATAGGAATGATGCTAACTTTGTCTCAGCTTGTTTTGATTCATACATCTAATTTCACGCGTGAACATGCCTGCATAGCTCTTTGATATATGATCTGTGGTAAGAGGTAACATTAATCAAACTGAAGGTAACTCCCACCCTTTGATAAAAACCCTTGACAGCTAGGTATTTCCTTCCCGAAGCTGCACCCAAAGCAACAGGCCCAAGCATTTCAGTTACCACATTGCTGTTCCCAAGGCAGCAATGACCCTGGACAACAGTGATTAGCCAAAGCCATGACTTCACTCTTCAAAGTCAAACATCTCTCTTGAGAAACTTGAATGATGCAGTACTATTGAGCAAATTCAGCGGCATCAGAAAAATGGTGGACTTTGTATGCAGGCTCACTGGATAGGGGAGTTAGAATAAAGGTAAACCAGAGGAACAGCTCATTTTTACAGTCAGTAGGCAAGAAAATCAGATATAGCTTAACAGAAAGAGCAAAGCAAATGAATGACAATGTCTGGTTTTACAGAGTAACCTATGCAGAAGGCTCTTGTCATAGGTAGAGAGTGAATTAGTTCTCTCAAATGTGAAACGGCCTCTCAGATTCAGGCATTCACAGCCTATATTAACTATATTGCTCTCTCAACTCCACACTGGGAAAAGTACATTATACAGACCACCTGGCTTGTGTCCAAGACTCTGTCTTTTGTATGATGCCTCTGAAGCTGGCCAAACTTAAGAGGAGCTTTACAGGGTCAAATACTCTCCTCCATAAGACTGTAAAGTAGGTGCCATCTAAAATGTAGACACCTATTCCCAGAGGGTGACTCTGCCCACCTGACCTGCCTACCTGCTCAACAAGGACCAGTGGAAGGACGCAATCCTCCTGAAGGTGCTTCTGACCAATTGGAAGTGGCATTGCCATTCGCTTTATAGGGACTGGGTGTATTTCTAGAGCGTGCTTAGTGCTCCACTTAGTAGGAAAGAAATTATGTAGGGGTAAATGACGAGGCAGAGATCTGTGTGTGAACACGTATTTGATGCAGGACTCAACAGGTGTTGCCTTTATCCAAGAAGTCAGTTGTGTGAGGAAATCAGAGTACTTCCCCAGAGTATGCCCTGGGCCACCACACTGCTGATGCTCAGTTTATTGGGGCAAAGAAAGAAGCTGAAGCTTCTTGGTTGAAAGCATGTCTCTAAGTGCGACGTGTTGTCGTATAGAGGCACCAAAGCTAGTTCAAACTGAGCAGGCATTCTGCAGGGCACAATGCAGTGAAAGAAGAGATACTGGTGTAGGCCTGACTCTGCTTTTCAGAAGACCTCATTCCCTGGCTACAGCACTGCACAGATGGGGCTTATACTGTTCCCAGACATAACCCCAGTATCTCTGGATGCTGTCAGGCTGAGCAGGAGATAAGAACCTGAACAGGAGAATAAAAGATGCTTCACCACATGTGATGTTTACCTCTTGGCAAGTAATTTTATAGTTTAAGGAGACTTAGCGTATGGCTCCATGAACACAACTATGAAGCAAGCTGAGGTGAAGGTTTGCAACACATTAGCTACTCTGTGGTAATGATAAGCGTCAACTTCTTCTGCAATAAATGCAAAGCAACTTTGGCCTTCAGCGAAAGAGGATTAGCTATCAAAAAGTTGCTAGCATGGACAAATGCAGTGTTTTGCCTTGCCCTGTACTGGAATCATATACTGTGTCTTTTGGAAAAGTGAAAACAAATGCAGATTTTAAGTCACAAAGACATAAACCATAGTGGAAATATTATCTGCTTATCACAAAGTCAACGCAGATTGACATCAGGAGCTGTCATACTCAACCCAAGAGAAAAAGGGTCAACAAAGGTCCCTGACAGCCAAGGATTTTAGGAAAACTTATCTATGCAGAGAAGTTTTTCATTTTAAATCTCAATTCTGCCTCAGATCCTATGAAAGATGCTCTTAATTAGAGCTGATCAGGAAACAGTACCTTTTCCTTTGGAAAATGTGGATGTCAAAGAAACAGTTTTTGAACAGGAAAGCATTTTGATCTAAAATGTTCACTGCGTTTATTTTTAACTGATTTCTTTCTTTGTTATCAGTGCATAGCTGGACATGTTCACACATCTCCTAGCAAGCCCATTCAGCCATGTTGCCATTTATGACCTGAATCAAAAGACTCAGTTCCTCAAACTTCCCTGACTTGCTTCAGACGGTGTCTGATCTTTCTGCTTTTAAAGTGAGGGCTCTGCATCTTCACTCCATGCAATTTTCCCACTGGCATACCTCCCTGCAAAGGAGAGGCAAAAGGCTATAAAGTTAGGATGGCAACAAGTGTTACAGCCATGACATGGCACAAACAGTGTAAAAGACAGACACAGGGCAGGCTAAATACATCTAATTAAGGTTTTTTACTTCTCACAGGGGAACGCAGAAGACATTTGAAAATCATTAGCAAAAGCAGGATAAAATACAAACTATTTTATAAATGGTATCAGCTCTTGGCATTTACACATTTGGTGAAACTTCAGACCCATATTTACTTTCCTAACTTGGCCATACAAGGCATCTTTTGTTACTACCAAAGGAAGATTAGCCCTCTGAGAAAATCAGCTTTTCGAAAGGGGTATTGCAGCTAGCAGCTTTGGACTTCATCTCAGTGTCTTTAAAATCCTCTTATACAGAGATTGGTATACAGAGGATTATAACTTCATGGAGACTTTTTTTTGTCTGTTTTTGGAGGAAGGAGGAAGGAGCAACCAGTGGTAGTGGGCTTTTAATGAAAAAAGTTAGATTCCCACACTCTTTGGAAGTTAAATTACAATTGTACAATTAGAGGAGCTACAGAACTGGCAATAAGGCCTGTTCGGCTTTCCTGTGTTTTGAGAAATCAGTGATAAAACTAAATGCAAAATGAATTCAGTTTATAAACTATTTTCTCTAACTAAAATGACAACTTACACCACAGAAGGGAAAAAATGAGAGAAGAATTTCTTACGGAAGAGAATTCCGCACTACATTTTAAGGGGAGAAAACTGCGCTCTCTCATTTCTTTTCTTCTTCTGCATGTAGTATTGATAAAGCATTGGTGACTTTCTGCTATGGGATGAGAAGAAGGGAATCAAGTAACAGCTGAGTGTCCTTACATAAACGAATATAAATTTTAGGTCTAATCACTTAGAGTCTTTTTACATCCGGGAGATGAAAATAAATATACATTAAAAAAACACGTGCTTTAAAGAGCACTGTTATTTCAAATTTTATTTTAGCTTTGTGAGAAGTGAGCTGGAAAGTGGCCCTCTAAAACTGTCCTGATTTTCCATTTATGGATTTTTATTTTCTGAAGAATATGGGAGTTTCCATCTGAGACAACAGCTTTTTAAAGGAGACTGAAGCAGAGGGATGAAACAGGCCCACGCAGAGAGGAATAATTCCATGTCGAGGAGACTTGGATATGCCAGACATCCCACTCCCCTGCAAAGTATAATGCAAGCATGCCCAGCCAGCAGCCTGCCTGCCTGCCTGCCCAGCTGGCCCTCAGCACCACAGGGACTGCCAGAATTGGGAGCAGACCGTGGGGTTGATTTGCCAGGCTCACAGACCTCTGCAGCTCTGGATGCCCTGGGTACAGGGAAGGTGGGAACACTTGCTTTCATCCAATATACCTGTCTTCTCAAACCCCACCTAGCCATCAGGCCAACCGGGAAAGGATCTAATGGGTCAAAACCTGTAACAACCTGGATCAGGCTCTCAGGCAACCAGCCAGCTGTCCACCAGATGCTTGACAAAACTCAGCCATCTTTACCAAACAACATCCTCCACTGAAAAGCTTTCCACCCCTAGCACAGAAGGCCTGCATGTGAGAAAAGCTGAGATGATAGTGCAACAGAAAGAAGCACAGGGACTTGCGCTTCATCGCAGGGCGACAAAGGTTCACAACTGCCCCAGCTGCTACTGGCAGCCATGGATACTACAGGAAGCTCAGCTCTGCAGTGGCTTTTCATCTGTTCTGACAAAACTTCTGGCCATATGAGTCGGGTTTATCTCTGTTGTCTCTAGCAGAATTGTATTGTACTGTTGTGAGCGATGACAAAATTAAGCCCATAAAAGTCAAGCCCACAGAAGTCTACCAGGTGGTATGCTACAATAGAAAAGCTTCCAGCTATGGGTCCTAGCAACTAGTAAAAACCAGACTTGGGGAAAAAGTTAGGTTTGGTTCTTATTTATCTATTCTTCAAGGTGAGTAACAGTGGTAACATCCTACCCTGTCAAAATTCCTATCAAAATCAAACTTACGTACACTGATACTCTACTCACTTATTGCAAGAATCAGCTCTCGTCTCTGCGCAAATCCAATAAGTCTCTCCGAGTCTTTCGAAACCACTACTGGAAAGCCATTGTAGTCAGTCTCCTTGATTAGTGTCTCGACATCCTCCACTGTCATGCTGTCCTGCGTCAGAACAGAGAGAGGAGCTTCGCCACGCCTTGGTCTCATGACATCAGTTGCCAGAGTTCGGTGGGTGAATTCATCCTTCACATCCAGAAATGGGTAGCCGTTCAGATGAATGTGAGCTTCATAGATCCCTTCTTTCCCAAAGGCATCTGCCACCCACTTGCTTGTGACAGCTGCAGCCATAAGAGGTACGATGTACTCCAGGCCTCCAGTTAGCTCAAACATAATCACCACCAGAGAGACCGTCATTCGGGTAACACCACCTGCCAACAACGAAAGCAGTCAAGTTTCCCTCAGTGCTCTGGAAGTATACATACTAAGCAACTCATTTATATTTTTTGAGTCTTACGCTCAAGGAGGCATCAGATTATTCATGCTGAGTACTTTGTCCTTATACTTTGTGAAGTAATTTTGGGTTTATTTCACCGAAGAAAGAGATTTTTCATCTACTGCAATTTTCACCAAAAAGATTGCATGAACTTGCTCAAGCCAAAGATGCTAACATTGAAAAGCAAATAATGAATGTTAAAAGACTGAGCTATCAAAGCAGAAAGCATGCCAAAAAATCAGCTATACTGGATACTTGAGAAACGAAAACTGAATCCTGCCATTAGCCCTCTAAAATGACTCCAAGAATCACCTAAGTACCATGGCTGGGGCAGGTAGGAGCATTAAGAGCTGGCCTTCAAATTGCTTTACCTATCGCATTCATACTGAAGAGAAAGCTAAGCATTATCTTTGGGCATGACATGGTTACAAAATCCTACTTAAGGATAGTTTAGGGCCACTGCAAGAGCTATGTTACAGCTTAAACCCTAGCTTTTGATATCAGTATAACATACAGTTTGAACTGTATACAACTTGGTTTGAGGCCATCTAGGCATGCAGCCGTAGACAGGGTTGTAGCTGTATTTTTCAATCTAGTCTTTCTGTATTAATTTCACAAGCAAGCTCCTTATTCCTTCAGTTTACATTAAAGGATAAAAATAATCACATAACTGCAGACAAGTGTGTATGTATCACTGAATTATTAGGTAACATTTCTTTGCCTCTGTTCAAAAAGTAAATGTAGTAAATCTGCTATTTTTAGACCTCAAAATACAGCACCATTTTAGATGAGAGAAATCAGAAACAGGTCATTAAAAGATGCTTTTAATCTAGGAGCGTACACGAAAAATAAATTGTTGATCATTTAACACGATGATCTGGATATGACTTTCATCTGAGGAATCCCTTAAACTTCTGACTCTGAAAAGCTGAAAGCAGATACCAGAGTAAGGATCATTTAATACCTACTCTATATCTCTTACTCTAAGCAAGACAGGTCTTGGGCTTAAGAACGAGCAGCGACCATTCTGCTGTATGTCTCGCCATACTATTAAAATCACTGCACCTTGATTTGGACCTTTTAAAAGAGGAAGTGATTTCTGACTAGCAGATCAACTGGAATATCAGAGCAAAATTTTTGTGTGTCATTTCTTTTATGAAGATTAAGATTTTTTTATGGACAAGAGGAAGCGCTTCACTCTTTTTGACAGTAAGATTAATCCTAGCTGGTTTAATGTGTCTACACTGCTGTAGGTGTTCACATGCAAAGGGGTGATCCAGATCGCCTTTATAATCTGTGGAGAAAAGCAGGCACTTTTGAGGCCAAATTCATCTATTCATTTGCCTGGGTTTAGATGTCTATTGCCAGATGAGACTGATCTTTCCAGTATCTCATTTTTCTGTTTTGACTGTGAAGGGTATCAACACAGCTAGCTCAGATGTTGATGTCGACATTACAGGCATTAAATTTAGACAAGCAAATCCACCCTTCCTTCCTCTATAACTGATCACACAAATGATTCTAACACGAGACTCCAAAACTGAAACTTTTCCAGCTCTTCCTTGACTACACCTTTCATTTCAAATCTACCCATTTACATTAATCACGTGCTACGCCTCCCCACTATTATTTCATCATCTAGTGACAATATCAACAACAACAATAGAAGGAGGTAGAACGTACAAGTACAGAAGGGGAAAGATATGATCAGGCAAATACATGTTCAGATGGTATGCGTGTAACATTCCCGTTGCATCTATGACTAGAAATTTGATATGTGAGGTACTATTCAATGATCTTGCTTTAATAGTTAACAGATCATTCCTGTTATATCCAATAAATCGTATTGCTTGAATGTAATCAGATATTGGCCCATGGTCAAAACAAAAACCAAAAGACAGCCCGCTTGACCATAGTGTGACACACAGCCAAAATAAGACCCAGAATTTTTGACTCTGTGTAGCTTAAAATTTGGCCAGAACGGGGAACTTTGTTGCCTGCACTGACAGAGAGCACAGTCTAAACAAGGAAGTAGCGTTAGTCCAGCTACAGTGGATTTCATTACATCAAAAGGAAAAAGAAAAAACAAACACTCCTTCTCGGAAACCTGTAGCCTAACTTCTTTAATTTTTTCTTTCCTTCTATGTGCTTTTTGGCAGATTACAAGGAGTAGGCATTGGTGACTGCAAGCCTCTCTTTTGTTGACTACCTGGCAGATCACTGGAGAGACTATTTGAGGAGGCTGCCCATGCTTTAGCCCATCACATCTATCACGTCCAGAAATGCCAGTATAGCACCTAACACAACCACAAAGCCCTCATAAACAATTTGTAGTCCCAAAACATCAGTTTTATCCATGCGCAAAGCAAAGATCAGCAGGTACTGTACCCAAGCAAGCTGCCGCTCCCACCATAGCATAAAGTCCTGGCGTGACACAGTCTGCCCCAGGTCTGCACCAGTTCCTGAAGATGATCCAGTCATGATGGTGATAGGCCAGCTGCTCTACACCGATCCCAACCATCCTGCCAGCCATGGCTCCAACAGCCATGCTGGGAATGAAAAGACCTGAAGGGATCTTGAATAAAATATGGACACATGAGCACCTTGACAAAAATGACTAGTAATGAACTTACTGATCAAACAATTTATTATTAGTGGTAGAAGAACCCACTTTCCTTATCAAATGCTAGCTCAGGAGGCCATAGCCTTTTGGCAGCCTACAGTGATGTTCCCCATGGTCTGAGATAGGTTTCTGCAGTGACTGAGTTTGTGTGGCTACATGTGTACTAATAAATAGCTTCATAAAATTTTAATGCATTTTTTAAAGTAATTTTGAATCCTACCTGCTACATCGTACTGAAATTGATAGATAAACACTGTTTCTCAATAATAGTCTGCTTTTAAAGTCAAGATGCTCCTGTTTTTGCCTTTATTGCTTTCTCAGCAGGAAGTCAGGAGCTGCTGATGGTTCTGTCACGGGCTTGAGAATAAGCTTAACTGAAAATAACATCTTGATTTCAACCTCTATCACATGGAGTACTTTGCAGTTTTATTACTACTCTTTCAGGCTAAATCAGACCGGATTTTAAATTAAATGTCAAACGCAGAATAAAAATGTAGAGAAAGGAGGCTTACTGCTCAGAGGCAGCTATTTCTTCATCTCAGTTTGCTATATATTTTTCAGGAAGTTTTGTGAATCATTACCTTGTCTGCTACACAGACAAGTCACAAATCATTAAGAAACAGTATTGAAATGGAAAAAGAAAAAAAAAAAAGAAAAAGAAAAGAAAATGAAAATTCACTTTGCCTTGGCTAAGTGCATTTCCTCTTAGACGTCAAGTGTACCTGTCAAGTTGGGGACAAATTTCCTGGTGGAGAAGATAACTCAGATCTCTTGCAAGGGCTTGCATGGAGTTTTTGTTGTTTTCAGAGAGAAAAGGTTGTTATACTCTTTTAATTCTGAAAATATACCTTGGGCTTCCTAGACAACTAAACTAACAGCCTGACAACAGCAGGAGCTATCTTTCCCACCATATAGTGTTAATTTTGTTGATACAGTTGGATTCGATGGGTAAAGCTGTTTTGTCTGTTCTTTTCCAGAAGAGTTGAAACTGTCAATTGCTTCTAACAAATTTTAAATACATAGAATAAATAAATAGAAAAAATTGCATATCAATCAAAGAACCAAACTCAGAAGTTTTTAAACAAATGAACAAGCATAACAGCAACTGTCTGTCAGCCCCAGCACAAATTGTTTTCTGCAGCAAAGGGCACCTCATTTCAAATCCTCCTCCAGAAATATAACACCCGTACTCTAAAACTCCCTCTGATTCTCTCTGCTCAGGAAACCAGCAGGACTCAGTCACTGGTCCTAAGTGACCTTCTACCATTCAGTAGTTCTTGCCATCAGGGACATCCCAAATGGAGAAAACACGAAAGAAAAGCAAAACTCCAACCACTTCCTGCTATTTTCGGGTTACAGGCCTTCTAAAAGATGGATCCTCGGTTCCAGTTCAGTTTTTAATAGAAAGATGAGATGCTTTAACTTTGAGTGTGACATAACATATAGTGTATAACTCGGAAAAACTTCCCATCATCTGTTGCAATCAGATCCAGAACTAAATGCTCAGATAATGGGAGCTGTAGACAGACAGATAGGTGTTTTATATGGGCTCTAGCAATCAGATATATAAAACTCACCACAAACAGCTTTGTATGTATTGAAAGCTTGGATAAATTGTTCTGGGACTTGTCATCACCCATTTATGGGGAGGAGAAGGAATGGAAGGAAAAGCTTGCAAATCCAGAATAATCAAATGATACATCTGTCAGTCCTCCCACTCATTCCCTCTTTTTTTTTCCAAGCTACAGTGCTTAAAAAGATTAAAAAATAGAACATTTCAGCTAGTTTCATACTTTTGTGAGGTTCTAAATGTGTTATTCAGTAAATTCAAAGCTATTATTTCCCTGAGCATAGCTACCTTGAGGCACATTAAGACATTAATCCAACAAGACAAACAACGTAAATAGTCCATATCCCTGAGAGAGCTGAAAGACAGCTGCAGTGGGAATCATCTTCAATTTGCTTATTGACAAGAATTTAAATTCACGCCTAGATTTCTTTTTCACTTAATAAAACTGCAGGTGACTAGAAGGTGGAAAAGCAGGGCTCATGCCTTTGCTGCAACAGGGGCCCGCAGAGCAAGGTGCTGGTGGGCAGGTGAACCAGCAGGCATGTCAACTACACCTGTGTGGCTGGGTACAGGTCAGAAGCACACAAGCCCTGCCAGATAGACCACAGCAGCTGATGGCAACCCATCTGCGTGCTCACGACAGCTTCTGCGCCTGTCCCCGATTTACCTTCATGCCGAAAGTGAATATCGTGATCACAATTTTAAACACCAAAGCCAAGGCGAGCTGCCACATGGCGGTGTAGACTCCAGGGCCGGCAGGTCTGTCGGGAATGTCATCCACTGGCCGGGTCATGTTTGGGTCATTGATATAGTCACAGAGCTGTGAGGACTCCAAGGCACCGCAGTCATTGAAGAGCTCTGAGATCAGCTCACTGGTGCTCCTCCGGGTGTAGGGGTTGGGGTAGGCGATGATGGCGGTGATAGCCGTTATCACTATAACCTCCAGGACTGGGTATTTCCCAAGTCTGGTGGTTTTTCGCCTCCTGCACCAGGCGATGTTGCATCGAATAAAAAGGGTCCCCCAGAGGCCACCGAAGACACCGAGCAGGATGAAGGGGAAGAGCTCAGCCATGTACCAGGGGGTGTGGTACTCCACGTAGAACAGGACCAGCCGGCTGTTTCCAAAAGGATTGATGGACCTCAGTGTGAAGGCAGCCACAAGAGCAGCAAAAAATGACCTCCAAAGGGTTTTTAGAGGAAAGTAGTAGCTGACCTAAAACCAAGCAGAGACCGTAAATACTTCACTGAGTGCGACAGAGGATATTTGCTTTAATTATTCACTGGAGCACTGTGCACAGTAAGCCATCGCTGTGTGTTTCATCTGTGACTCTACATCTTGCTTTATTGGGAACGCCAGTCCTTACCACAGCCAGAACGTGTTCACAAAGGTATCAGAAAAGGCATTTTCAGATTTCAGATAAGGAGGAGCAACCAGTGAAAAATCAATAAATCTAAATCCAAAGTTACTGGCTAGAGGCAATAAGATGAGTGCTCGGCAGCTCGGCTGATGCAGCAGCAGCAAGCTGAAAGCTGGAGAAAGCTCAACACAGTGATACATTTCCAGATTAAATAATTTTGTTTTTTTCCAGAAAGCCAGTGCTCTTCTTTTACTCAAACTATGCTAAAATACCTGCTTATTTCTTATTACTAGAAATCAGAGATTATTTTTGCTTTAGAAGAAAAATAAGCATATAAATATTTGAAAAACAAAGAGGAATATTAGAAAAAGGCATCAAGTGAAAGTATATTTATTGAAGCAAGTGAACTGCCAGGTCTCACCTCTTCCAGACTGAAAAGCACGCCTCCAATTGGAGCCCCAAAGGCAACAGAAACTCCTGCAGCAGCTGCAGCTGAGAGCACCTACAAAGCAAATATTTACATACAAGGCATGAGTCCTTCAAAACATCAAGTATCTGGACAGGGAAATTAGAGACTATTTGAGCCAACCTCACCTCTCTCCTCTTCCCTTCATTCTTGCTGTACTTTGAGAACAGGCTGCTGAAGAAGTTTCCGCAGCAACAGGCCACGTGGACTAACGGCCCCTCTTTCCCAAGGCTGAGGCCTGAAGATACCACCAGAACCAAGGTGACTGTTTTGATTAAAAGTGTCCACTTTCCCAGGTAGCCCCTAATAATGAACCCACTCAAGATGGTTTTTATCTGGAAAGCAGGAAGAACATGTTGAAGAGCTGAAGAAACCTTTTCTACTCTGAACTTGCAAATGGAGTTAAAACCCCAGCGGAGTTAAAAAAAAAAATCACAGACTGCTTGAAAAGAGACAGTGACGGAGAGAAAGAAACCGTAGGTAGAGCAACTTTCCCATAGTGATAGCTGAGCAGGGGTTAAGCAGACCACACTTTTACTGTTCTTATGGGTGGTCCCCTGTGTCGGTAAGGAGTCTTACAGAGATCAATAGAAATACGAAACTGTTACATATCTCCTTGGCTTACAGGATCAGAGTTAAACTAGACCCAACTTTAACAAAGCAGAAAAAAGCAAATAAACAACCACAGACTTTTCCCAGTTAAAACAAGAAAAAGAAAAAAGCTCTAAATATTTGGAATGGCCATGCCATAAAAGCATACAAGTATCATGAAATGAGAAAGTCCAACAGATCTTATTTCTGCAAATTTCCTCTTAATTTTGCATGTGAATGGCTAGAATAGAGCACAATGCACGTGCATGAGACATAGGCTGTAGGGTGGGATTTGGGTTTGGACTCTAGCCCTGGAAACGGACTGGAGCTGAGCATCACCTCACACGAGAGATTTACCACTCCGAAACTAGATTTACAGTTAACAATGAAAACTTTTTAAGAACACTTACAGATATATCAAATATGTAACAAACACACACATGTGACTACTTTGAAACATGGAAATGATTTAAATATTTCAAATTATTTGTGGTGGGGTTTTTTTTCCTGATAGGCTATGAAACATTTGGATGCTTCTCCTAGAGATGAAGAAAAAAAGCATGACAAGATTTCTAAAATTTGGCTTGTTGATTCTGTCTGCCAGATTACTAAGTAATAATCCCAGTGGTTCTATAGCACTTTTAACAAAAGACTGCCCTGATTTCAAAAATTTTAAGTAGGTATGCTGCTTGAATTACAGGGTTCCTCATTTTAACAGCTTAAATAGGAACTGAGGCTCAATATGTAAAATATTGAAAACTAAGCAGAGATTTTGGCTGTCATAATGCTCTCATGCTAGCATGACATGGTGTACAATTTGCAGAAGATGGACAGCCAGACACTTTTCAGGCATCCCAAATGATGGACATCTCACATCTTCAGTAGCTTAGGAAACCTTAGCTTCATAGCCCTCCCTCTTTATTTTATTTTGGTTTTATTTAAAGCCTAGACTAGAAAATAACTTTTTTTGTAACTGGCCCAAGTAGTTTCATCCAAGGAAAATTCTATATAATCGTCTAGTGAGCATGTGCCTCAGCCACAAAAAGTTGGAGTCCATAAAGAGATGACTGAGAGCCATTGATTTTTAATTCAAGCTCTGGCAATGAAGAAGGATGTACATTAACCTCTCACTGTGGCATTTGAACATTTTCTACTATGAAAAATTTAGATGGGCACCATAAAGGTGTGTTAGACAAAGGAATGAAGGCAGATGAGATGGAAAGACAATCTTCTTAATCTTATGCTATCTCATAGTACAGTTCTGGAATGGGAAAAGATGGCAAATTATCTTTTCTTTGTTTGGTTTGGGTTTTGGATAGTCATCCACAAAGAGAAACTCACCTCTGGGATTCCAGAGCCACAGGCATAGGGAGCAAACACTCTGACCAGGGAGACTGCCAGGAAAGCAAAACATAGAGCCCACATAATGTATAGAAAATAGTTTAGAATGTAAGCACTTGCACCCTAGAAAAATAACAGTAACAAACATTGTTAGACAAATGCAGGCTGGTAAATCTCACACTTCTACTAGGGACCATGATATCATGGAGCCTGGTCTTTTCATTTACATGCTAGCTGCTGCTTTTCCTCAGGAAGGACAAATGGCTTTGTATACTCCAACAATTTTATTACTCATGGGAAGAAGCAGCATACTAATATATACCTAACCCAGTCCATACAGTCTCTTTGCAAGGGACCCAAACACCTTAAACAGAGCATCTTTCAAACACTAAAAAATTAAGCCAGCCACAAAAAGTTCCAAAACGTCAAACAAATCTGTCGTAAGGACAAAAGTAATTGGTGATAAAAAAGCACCTAATGAAGGAATCTGTTGCTTCACCGCATGGCGGGTGACAAGGGATGAGACCCTGATACATCTATTTCTGAGGGCTGGTATTCAAAGGTCAGCTTTCCATGCATATGCTGATCTTTTCAAGCGACATCCCTGTGTATATCAGTAGCCAGTTCAGTTCACAAACGGGAAGGGTAAAACCATAAATAAATTCTTTCCTTCTATATGACGCTGTCTATGATAGGGTTGAAAATCATTTGAAAACACAATAGCTTGGCAGATCCCACTCAGACACATCCCAATCATTTTTGCCCTGATATTTTAAAAGCATTCCAGTCGATAATAAAACCTATCTTCAAACTGAATAGCTTTACTTCACTGACAGAATGGAAATGCTAATGATCATTAGCAACGGTTGACTGTGCAGTGCCATAGTGAAAGCATAGTCAGTAGTGACCTTCAAGCTTTCTACCTATCTCTAATGGCCAAGTCAAAACCGTTGTTAAAATCTGCCTTACAATACCCCTCCCTCTTCACAAGCATTATTTTTTAGATTTATTTCAAAAACCCCACCTACACAGACAAAAGAGAATCTAGTCAGAGGCGTCTAATTGATACAAGGAGCTGAAGCCTTCAGACAATCTCCTCTAGCAACATGACACTACAGAATAAAAAACAAGATGAACCTCAGTGCATGAATTGGTATGAATCCTTCACCTCTAAGTGAACTCTTCCTACCGGATGCAACCCCAGCTGCTCAAGAACATCGGGGCCCCTGTCTTTGCTCTGCAGGACAGCAGCCTGGATACCAACATTATGATAAATCAAGTAGGAAAACAGGCATTAATCAGTTGTATCATGTCTTCAGTTAAGAGAGTTGGCCAGTCCCAGTCCCCGGTCATAAAAAACCTGGAGCTGAGAAGTCTCCCTCTTTGCAAGCCTGCAAGGAATCAACCTTTAACAGTATGAACGCTTGCTAGCCTCATTTTCCAGGTCTCTGTCCAATTGAAAAGACAGTAAGGGAACCACTGCCCCTACACTTATGGATATACTTGGAAGAGGGGTAATTTGTGAAGGTCTGCTTGTGCTTACTGAAGTTAGCAGATGGCTTTGTTGATAACAGCAGAAAAGCAATATGATTCCATCCCCAATGCCCTGAGACTAAGCAGTCATGGATCCCACTCAGTGATTGACATCCACCTGTAGTAACCATGGATCTTTGTTGCTACAGCTGAAGACAGTCTCATTTCCTTATGAATGTCTTCTCCTAGTGCTTTCAGTTACAAACAGCTATGGCAATATTTATTCTTCCTCTAGAGAAAACTCTGGATATGTTGCCCCAGGGCAAAATTCTCCTGTCAGTGTGAATCTGGAGTAACTCCAAAGACGACCAATGCCATTACAGCAATTTGGCCCTACAATGTTGGGCGAAAGCTGCAGTTTTGCTTCTAAATTCACTGGAGTCAAATTAACTTTGTTTCTTTTTACTTCCTCTTCTTTCATATCTCAGAAGTCACGTGAAAACTATGTCAGCTCGTTACTGCAATCACACATACACCTACAGCACTGTGGCAGGACCCCAGAAGAGTCTATATGGCCAGTTCAGACATCCCTTGGGACAACTCTCATTGTTACATTTTCCAGATATCTGGCATTCTGCAGGTCCAATCGCAGGAGTTTCTAGTGATTAATAATAAGAAAACATTTGGGAAGTGAAGTAGTAGTAACACAGTATAGCAAATTATTCATTTCTCATTGATCACATGCCATTACTAAGGCCCTGAATCAGTAAAAAGTCTTAAGCACGTACACTGGAATCAGAGAACAAAAACACTCATCAGCAGAGATGATCCTGCTAAAACCTTTTCCACTAGTGGCTCGTAGGACTCACCCTGGCAGCAATAGTAATGAAAAATTCAGGGGAACTGAGCAAAACTTTGTATTTTAGTTTGAAAGACCTAGTAGTATTTCAGATCTGGTGTCAGTCCAATTTAGGTACAAATGGAGCACAATTGAAAACAACCCTCACAAACTCAGACTACTGAAATAAAACGCATCCCTCAGAATGCCATCCATGGCTGACTGATGCTTGTTTTTTCCAGAGGCCGAGAGCTCTACTCTGACTTGACTTGGGATCTCAGAGCTTGCAAAGTCTCTCTGGTGGATGTTACAAATTGGGAAGTGCGTTCCACATATAGAGGGGTTTCCTTGTCTAGCAGGTCTCAGCTTTGTGACAGGAGATCCAAAAGCCCTGGGTTGGGAATCCAGTCCATTGCTAGATCCAGTGTCATGAGCCATGGAAGACACGGGGCCCTTTCCTCTGCTTTGGATAGATGTGAGGCACCAGAAATGGGTCCTCAGCTCCAGTGAAGTTGAGGTTAGGACCAACTTGGATCTGCAGAATAGGGAAGCTCTAGGTCACCAGATCCTGGCTAGGGATCTAGCCGAAGGGGATGGCATCTGATGTACCTTAACACACCCACTCCACCAGTGAATTTGAAGTTTTGAAACTCTCTTGCATCAAAAAACTCTTCACCTGCTCTTTGGAAGCAGTTCAGGACCAGAGGGATGAAGGTTATCATTGGCCTACAAAACAGCGACTAAGGAAGAAAACATAGCCTGGTATTTTTTGGATGTGCTATTAGGTTTTCCATAATAATTTATATCAGGACTCTGCTTTGGGTTCATTTTATAGGACTAGAATGAAAACATTTTTAAAGAGATGCCATAGGAAATGTCACAATTCTCAGTGAGAACATATGTACAGAGTTTATCACAGCCATAAATCGGCAAAATCACAAGGAAGAACTGATCTAAATCTTAGTCCTCAAAATGTCAGATTTAGTTGTCCATGATGAGAGAGAGTCACAATCATCATGCATAAAAAAGAAGATATGTCTGACCAAAGTACCTTTATGGAAACTGTTGCAAGTACTTTCTGTCTAAAATGTGCTCCAAATTAGTCCTTCTGTGCACTGTGCATTTTATAGGGCTGTTACCCAACTATCAGGCACAAAATGAAGTGACATACAAAACAAAAGGCAAAATTATCCTGAAATGCAGCCAAATTCAGTGTATTTTGATCCCTCCTAGAGTCCTCTACAGCTACAGGAATCATGCAAAACTTGCCCATATCATAAGCCTTTTGCTGCAAAACAGAATTTTTACTTTTCATATTCACATTTTTGTTGGGCTTTGCCTGGGATTTCAATGTAATAGACAGCTATATTATTAATATTTACAGCATCCTCCAGGCTGTGGCAGCCAGAAACCCACAGATCTTAGAGGCCCACTTGTTTTGAGAAAGAGCCTAAAATTAAGCCAAGATTAACTTTTTTTTTCTCCCACTGTGACAGTATACTAGAGGGTGAGAAGCCCAGTTTGAATACAAAGTGAGTAAAGGGGCAATGGCCACAAACTGAAACCCAGGAGGTTCCATCTGAATATGAGGAAAAACTTCTTTACTTTGAGGGTGACAGAGCACCGGAACAGGCTGCCCAGAGAGGCTGTAGAGTCTCCTTCTCTGGAGATATTCAAAACCTGCCTGGACGCAATCCTGTGCAACCTGCTCTAGGTGAACCTGCTTTAGCAGGGGGTTTGGACTAGATGACCCCCAACCATTCTGTGATTCTGCAAAAGTTTCACTGTGCCCACCTAGCTGATACCTTTCTTATCGGCCCCAGCATAAAACAGTCATGGCTGCTGATCTTGAGTAGCAGGTGAAAGCAATAAATTTTCTCAAGGATATGCTCTGTTCATATATCCCAGCCTTTCCGAGTAACAGCATGTCAAACACATGCACAGGATTTCCAAATTCCATAATGATTGTAACATTCTCCTCTTTTTTCCCATCCCACATTTTTTTGTTCTCTTAAATTACAACATTGTCCCCAGTCCTGCAACTTTATACCAGGATAATATTCCTTCACTGTTACAAAGACACAACCACCCAGACCATCTGTTGATGAACACCAGGGTGAACCTAGCAAACCTCTGGCAAAGGGAAGCTTGGCACTGTGGACTGGCAACTGTGCAGAGAGATTTCCGCCTGTGATCAAATGGTGGGAATATTCAGGAACAGTGAGCACCCTGCTACTTTCACTACGGTTAATTAGAACTACGGAAAATTGGGCTATAAATACTCACAGACTCTCACAGCTGGTACTACTCGTACTGTAAACCTAAAGTGGCGCTGAAGGAAATGTGAATGACAAACTTGTACGGCGATGAAGACGCCCTCAAACACTTTCTGCAGGACCAGACCACGTCCACACTGGGGGAAGGTCTGAGACAATCTCTCCCAGTCACCCATTTTTTAGTTGCCTGGCTGGAGATGATTTCTCCCATAGAAGTGTGTATTTTCATCTCCTATTATTGACCAAACTGCATTACCAGATATTTTTTTAGAAGCCCCATTACATACTTAAGCCAGTTCTCTTCAAAGCCACATTCATCCCACCTCCATGCCATATTCAATTTTTGTCATATTCAAGTCACCTGTAGAAATGGGGGGGAGGGGGGATTCAAGACAATAATTCTGCCCAAAAATTCAAGTTGTGAAAGGATCAATATTATTCAATACATTGAATAGCTTAGGTTGAAAATAAAATGTCCTTTTCATATTTTTTATAAAAGTATCATCTGCTAAAAGGAGTATAGAAAGGCTGCTTCTGATGTCTTCAAAACAAAACTTTCACCTGCTTTGCTTTGAAACAACATTCTTTGTATTTAAAATTACTACAGTTTTAAAGAAAAAAAATTAAAAAAAGTTCTTAAAGTATAAGTTTCTTGTCAGTCCAGATCAGTTTTTTCCTCTCCTGTCCTCTCCCCCTGCAAATTTTTCACTTTGGCCATCTCCCAGGGAGCCCATTCTTTCCCCAGCTTTTGGCTCTCTGATAGAGAAACTGATTGCAAGGGCATAACAAGCAGTTCTTACACAGCTCCCACTACTACTCACAGCATTTGAATACATAGAAAACATCTGCAATTCCAAAAATTTCCTTTTAAATGTATTTGTCAGCGATCATCTTTTTTGTCCCATAAAACTGTGTTTAAAAGAAAAAAATGGATAACAGCTCAGGTCCCCTGGTGATTATGAGTGTTATGAAACTCATTTGGTTTAATACTGATAAAAATAGAGAGCAATCTCGCAGTTTTCCAATTTCTATCACACGTGACACTGAAACAACAGGACCTCTCCCAAGTTAAGCAGATATAGCTTGTGGAAATGTCTTTTTTTGCAGTGTTCTCAGTTCATTACTTTCTCTTTCAGAGAAACTCTTTGGAGGGAACATCAGCAAGTGTGAAAAAAGGGCATTCCTTGGCCTGCTGTGACCCCAACCTAATCAGGTCTCCCGTACCTCAGACTGGCTTACAAGAAGTTCAGACCATTTCTGCCACTGGGGACATTTGTCCCTGTCATCGAATGTAGTTTCATTAGACGTCCAGCAGCACTGCTCGTGGCTGTACCAGAAGGCAGACAGGCAGACACCCTCTTTCAGGTCTGTCATCCAGTCCACAGCTAAATCTATCACTCCAGCTAATGTGCCTGGAAAAAGAAATGCAGGAAAAGAAACCGTGGCGTTAAAAAATATCAAATCACAAGGACAATATATCTAATTATAATAACAACAGCAAAAACTCATGATTCGGGGAAGCAGCTGCAATGTAAGCAAAAACATACCAACAACTGGGGGTATCAGTGAGTTTGCAAAGAAACAGCCACACCAACATGTTGTCTGACCTTCCATGTTCTCTCAGAAAGATTTATTTTAAATATTATCATTTTCATACTGACTGATTGCCAAACAGGGAAGGCATAACTGATGTAGGGCCTGATCCTGCAGTCCCTCCCAGGCAGGCGCAATGCTGGACTGCGCCAAGCAGGACTTCATGCAGGGTCTCTGAACATGTACTAAGCTGCAAGTCTCAAACCACACTGTGTTGCAGGGGTAGGGGAAGAGGAGGATACATGTGCTTTCCTATAGCTTTACTGGTCCCAACACAGCAACCTTTTAGAAGGATGATTTCAGTACAGAAACAATATGGAGGCCAAATTCTGGTTTATGAACTTAACGGGATTGGGCTCTCAATGTGTACATTCATTAGCAATCTAAATACGCAGAATAAAATTATCCTTCAAATCCTCTCTGTACCAAACTAACCCTTATTTCAGTGTTTCCCCAGTAATTACACAGAGCTACAGTGACACCCGGTGGCCACCGGACACAGATAAGAGTAAAACTGATATGAAAAGAAAGAAAAGAAAAGAAAATCCTGCTTTTCTCGGGCGTTTGCTCACCAGCGATAACAACCTGCCCCAGCACCAGCGCGCTCCGAGCAGACGTGTCTTCACGAGTGCAGCACCAGCAGGACTGGGGAGGCTGGGAGCAGTCAGGACACAGACAGGCAGACCTGCCTTCCGTCCCTATGCCCAGAGTTTCTAGAAAGCATTAAACTACCAGCTGATAAAAAAGTCATTTAGTGTTTTCCAAACCCCTCTCGCATACAATGGAAAGTAGAAGTCAACAACATTTTTACTGATAACCATTAATACAATTTCAGGAAACCGGTAACGAATTTGAGCAGAATTCCTCAGTGCATTTCAATAGGACTAAAACACTGAAAAAATGTTTTGGAAAATGCAAAATGATTTGGTTTTATATTTCCAAAACTTTTAGCTTTGTGGCTCCTGCTAAGAATGCAATTATGTGAAGCAGGGGTGGGGGCCGCTCCCCTTTCCCCTGGCAGCTGGGGCACACAGGTGAGTTCAAGAGTCGGTTTATTTGACCTGGAACTAAAGTTTTCTGCTTTTCATTTCTGTGAAAGAGGAAAAAAAAAATTCAAATTATTCAGGCATGTGTAAGCTGGTTTTTATTCCACAGAACAGAAAAACCCCACGAGTGTTCACAGAGCCTTACACATAAGTATATCTTCTCATTGCCTTAAGAAAGATACTCGTCACCACACTGACAAGCAACGTGACTTGGGCAGCAGTGAAGAATTTTTGTTGTATAGGAATAATCTGAAGAAATATACAGATACACTAGACAAGATCACAAAAAAAAAGGCTGCAGCAGGGAGTAAGGTTGTCTGTACCAATTATTTTTTTTCATCAAGACCTTGGCTTTCTCTTGCTTACTCTTTTCCATTTTCCCAAGTTTCTATGGAAACAATGAACCATATTCTTAGATGATGATAAATCACTGAGTTGCTACTAGCGTCAGCATGCGTAGCTTACTGAGTTTTGCAGTAAACTCTAAATATTCTCCTCCAATTTTCTGAAATGAAACTTTATAGTTTCATTTAGGAAACAGTACAAAGAAGCAGCCCTTGCCCGTGAGCACCAAATGCTGTGCCTCTTGCATCTCTTGATGGACTTTTATCATCCTCTGCAGTTACCCCAGTCTTCAAAGTTCAAATCACACTTAATCAGCCAATTGAGTATTAATGCTACCTAGCAGAAGGTGCAAAGGCAGGCAGGCTTCTGAATGGTTTTCTCCAATAAATTTAATAAACAGAGTGAGGAACAAACATCCAGTTCTCTAATAGAACAAGCTCACGTGCACCACAGTACCTCTATGAAAATGTGCCTCTAGTAAAAAAATCCCTTTTGCCAAATCTTTTGGGATCCACATAAAGAGGAAAACACTATCTGCTTTACAGAGAAGAAAATCTTGCAGGATAATAGTGCAATAGTTAATGCTTCACGAGCCAAGTGACCAGGGCTAGAATTTTTCCAAGTTCTGAATCTCTGCAACTTTAAGTGAGATTAATGGGAGTTGCAGAGTGTTCAGCATTTCAGAAAGTGAAGCCTTTAATTTCTGGTGCTTACCACAGCTCTCCAGACACATCACTGCACCTCTGCAATATAGCATAAGTTTATTTCCCTACTTCTCCATCAAAGGAACTGAACTTGTTCCCTCTTCTACGCAACCTCCTGCCCAGAATGAAAAATAATGAAGTACTTCAAAGTCAGGAAATGCTGAACTTCATTTTAGATATTAGCCTTTTACCTCTCTCTTTTTCCTTTGGTTGATGATGGCCAATATTCATCCTTTACAGTACCCTGATGAGAATGCTAAAAAATTGCTTTGAAAACATATTTTCCCCAATGCACCTGTGCCAGAAAACTGCATCACCCAAGTGGCATGGCACTGAATTACAAAGGGGATTTTTGCACATCCAGCTCCAGTACCACAGCATTTCAGTATTAGTTCAATAGTACTTTTTGTGACACGGCTTTAGAAAACAGAGACTCTTCTGCTGATCTTCTATAAATAGCATATACCTTCAGCTGGCTAGTAATGGTTAGGTTGAGGGATGACCACTGGTTTGCAGGCAGGATGGGCAAAGTAAAAACTCAGAATTCCTTAAAAACAAGTGCCTAAACATTTGGCATTCACACCCAAAACTTTTAGGGTCATTTCTCCATACATTGCTTTGTATTTCTCTAGAAAGCGTGCAAACTTTCTGACTGAGACAGGCCCAGGTAGTACTCAGTATCTTTGTCTGGAGCACCCTGTGAGCAGTTTTCATCTGATCTCCACACCAAACAGCATTCATGGGCGTTACATGTCGGACTGTGGTGAGAGCGAGGGGCTCCGCTCAGGCTAATTTACGTGTGCACACTCACTCGTGAAACTTCTGTCTAATCCCAAATGGCTGCTGTTACATTCTTAATATACTTTGGTGTTACTCAAAACATACAGCTCTAACTCTGAAGCTGGCTCTGCTGTGAGCAGGGAGCCAGAGCAGACCCCCTCCAGAGGTCCCTTTCCCGCCTATGATTTTTTTGGCACTAATGGAGGATGTTGTTCCAAAAATTGACACAAGTGAGGGCTACTGCCAAATGGGATGATCCTCTCCTCCCTCCCTCCATCAGCTCCTTTCTGTCAGCAGAATTTTGATTGCTTGCGGCCCTGTGGTAACCAGCCCTGCTGAGCCCACTGATCAGCTGAAAACTAACCTGGCCAAACCCCATTTTTTCTGCCAGGCCAGTTCCCAGATCCACCTGCCCTGTGCAGCTGCACATGCACAAGGCCACAGGGCCTGATGGCAGGGACACCAGAGGTAAGAGATTAATACTTTTGGCCACGTCAGCTTGCACTGGCTGTGGAGGTGCAGTCTTTGAAGTATTGCAAAACCTGAAAGAGTCAGTTAACCAAATTGGTGGTATTTAGGCTTCTAGATCAGTTAAGCTCACTGTAAACTCCTGGGCCTGAGTGACTCTTCCAAGTGCCTTTGGAAACACGTGGAGGCCCGTGCCACCCCCTTCCTCAGGAGTCCCACCTTGCTGCCCTCCATCCCCAGCAAGGGGGCAGCAGGGGCAGGGCCCTCCACAAGACCTTCACACCTGGGTACTACTCCTGCTTGCTTTCCCTCTCCTCTCCCACTCCTTGCCACCCCCTCTCTTTGCCTCTGGTAATGCCTGGACTCAGCTGCCCAAAAGCTCGCTCAGTGCCGCTACAGCTGAGCCAGGCTGCTCCCCCTGGAGCAGTGGTAGCTTCTGCCTGTTCAGGTGTGATCATGCAGGTGCCCTCGTGGCAGGCCAGCTTCTCTAAGCAGGCAATATTTCAAGCAGAGAGGGAAATGACATGAAGCGCCTCTTGACTGCACCACCAACCTCACCTCCTTCCCCGAAGCTGGTTAAGAAACCTCATCCGCTCATCAATAATCCCCCTGCTCATCAAAGGGGTGTTGACCCCTTGCTGAGGCTGAGATAGTGACTCTCCATCTTCGCCCTGTCCCAGAAACACTGGAAGCACAGAGCACGTATCATTTCAACAGCAGGCAGAAAAAGTCTACAGAGTTCAGCCCAAATCATGAGCATGCAGGTAATTTTTGTTCTTCAGCTGATTCACAAGTCCTTGCCCCAATTTAAAAAGGGATGAATTTTATTTGACCCTGAGGTAAAACATGCTGCTCTGCACCCCTGTCATTGAAAAAGTTGCAAAAGCTAACACATCTGAGCTGCAGCTTACCCTCCACCTCCGTTCCCAAGCTGGACGTACCAGCATTATCGCTTACCAGAGAAAGCAACTCTGGCTTTCGACAGCCTTGAGGATTTCTGAATGAGGTTTCATTGCAAACTGGAACTGAAACAATCCTACTGGGATATTTGTACTGAAATGGGAGTGAGCAAGTGTATACCACATTCTCTGTATGAGTGAGGGGATTACTGACCAGCTTGTGGGAGGTCTCTAGAGCCCTCAAGGGCTTGCTCTACCTTTATTTGCAAGCAGAATTCTCCATCCCAGATGAGGCCAACCCTGGCCTTCAGACAGGGTTCAGCAAGTAGTTCACAGTCTATCAGACTCTCATCCCATCTCAGTCTCCCATCACAGCTTTTGCGGAAACAAGTATATCTCTACGAAATAACATAATTTGCCAAAAATGTCACTTCGGCAACATTTTCTCAAGAACTTCCCCAGTACTTCTGAGGCCCTGAATAAACTGTAATAAACATATTAACTTGGCGGCTGGTAAGCAGGAAATTCACACCAGTTGGAAACTGTGAAACTTTACATCATGCTTTTACCAAGCAACGTGATACAAGAGCACCCTGACATCCCTGAAAAAGTATAAAAAACGACAGCTGTTTCAACTTGGTAATAGAAGTGCAGTTCTCCAAGTTGGAAGATGTGCTAAACTGAACAGAAGACAGGAGCAATTTGGGAAATTAATGAATTTGCCATCTGAGTTTGAGCAGGCTGTTAAATATGTAATGTCTGTCTGACCTGGAAGCAGATCTGAAACTAAGTCTGAAACTGTATTTTCCCTTCATGCATATATAAAGAAGATAACTCAGTGGATATAACAATTTACTAAACTCCCTTTTGAGTGTCTACAGCCAACATTTTCCCCACATCATAATATCTACTTGCAGAATTAAAGTAAGTGAAGACAAGAAAAAAAAATCCTACCAATAAAATTGACTTCTGTGAATCAAAGATTCAGAAAGTCAAAGTAGTCCATTGAGTGTAAAGTGCTCAGATGAGTATTTCCAAAAGCAATAGAAAAATCCCTCTGCTGGTGGATAACATTTTTTCTAGGTCAGCACTCAGCAGGAGACTTTGCAAATGGGTATTTTTATTAAGCATTAAAACTGCATGGATGCATATTTGTCTTTTTAGCTTGAAACATCAGTGGAGAGACAATAAAATAAAAGAGAAGCAGATGGCACTGCAGAAAACTTGGGTGAGATGATTCCGGGCATAACTGTAACGCTAAAACACATGTACCTGCCAGTAGTCCTATGAGAAGCATTACAACCCATCCTGACCAGGCATCCAGCAAACTCTTGATGAACTCCCATATGGATTCCTTACTTTTGCTTGTAATCTGAAATTAAACATATATAGAGATATGTTGCTGAAGCAGGCTGACACAGTTTTAGTGTATAATATTTAAAACAAAAAATATTTAACCTCCTAGAAGGTGTATATGATTTTTCTACTCTCTACTTCCCCCAGTCCGAATCATTTTTCAGAGGTGCTCTGCTGATTAAGTTGCTGGAAACCCTTTCATATTTACAAACTCAAGACATACCACATCCATCTTTTTAGAAGTCCTCCTCAAGTCATGCAACAAGGTAGGAAGCTATAACTTTGGAAAACTACTTGTTTTTCTCACCATCAGGATGTCTGTCACTCAGGGACCGTGATGCATCAAAGCTGGACACCTTTACCTTTCTGTGGCGGTCAGTGTCGCGTGATTTCTCCCGCAGCCAGTCGATGGTGTGGAAATCTTCATAAGTCCCAACATCAGGGAAAGGCTCATCCAGAAAATCCATCAGGTTGCCAGAACCATTCATGTCTCCTGCATTGACCATATTAGGGTCTGTGTGTAGAGGGAAAACAAGTATGTCAATAAATTCATGCAGCTTTGCCAGACATTTCAGAATCAAGTTTTCCAAAATACATCCACAAACCACAAAGTCAAGAGAGCATGAGTCAGCAGTCCTGGTGGGCACTTACTGAAATCTATGCATTGCCACTGGAAAAAGTATTTTGCTGAAGACTACTTCAACAGCTTAGCAAACCCTAAAAAACATATACCAAAAGCACAGTGTCCAAGTGCAGAAATACCAGCTTTCCTGAAAACAGAGCCCCAGCACCCATGATGTTTCTGGGCTTCTTCTGCAATCATACATCCTGATCACATGTCGGAAGAAGTTCCCTGCCTGCCTGGAGGTTATCAAGTAGGCAAGGTCACCAGCTCAGAAAAATGATAATACACTAGAATTTACCATTCATCATGACCTGCAGATTTTACATGGCACCATTAGTCATAACACTGCAGTGTCTTCTAGTTTTGCATGCTCAAAGCTCCCTGCATTGATCTGCTTTCCTTCCACTGCTCAGAAGGCAAAGCTCGAGATGACAGTATGTCTACTCTGCATCAGGTCTGGAAATGCAGTATCTTCTTCAAGTTTGCTTCTCAAGTGCTAGGAGCAGGACTATTCTTGGAAGAACCTGACTGGTTTCCTTCTGTCCCATATACAAACTTTCCAAATTTGCTTTTAAGAAAGGAGGAGGAGAAACAGCCATCACACGTACTACGAGAACACAAGATGAAATACAAAGATACCTATCCCCAAACTATAACAAGCAGTTACCAGAAGCATTTGATAGTTAAAAAGGAGATCAAAGTAGGCTGTGAAATAACATACACTCTAGAGTGTGGCACACAGGCTGAGTGGACATTTTCAGCCCAGAAGTTTTTGGGGATATGCTCTCTGGGTTTACAGACTACAGATACGAAAGCAGAGAAACATCCATGCCCGTTGCTCTGAAACTCTGGAAACCATACCTTGTTCATGCAATCCACATAAGCAAAGCATGAAGAAGTTAACTCATAACCGCCGTACCGCTCTTTCCCACAGAGAGCTCAGCAACATCTGGCTAGGTGCGAATACGACTGTTACCTCCTTTAAAGGTCAGGTCCCAATGTAGTCACTAATATGACAAGCTCCAGAAATGGCTGACATCATTCCCGATGAGAGGAGCCTTTGGTAGCATGAGAATCTGTTAAATGAAGTAGTTTAGGCACATAGGGTTGGATTCATCCAACTTAACTTCAACCATCTGAAAGATTGGTGGCTGGACTGTGAGAACCACCAAGACTGCCTCTAGAGACAGAGAAAGATGTTGTAAGGGTGTGTGGCAAGAGAGCGCCTGCTCCTTTAAAGGTATCTGGTCAAGGACCTTTTTCAGTGCAACAAGGGATAATAAGAAAAGGAGAAAGCCATGAACAAGAACATACAGGGACACAAACCTGATGCAAATGATAAGGGAGGTGGTGATGGGAACCAAACCTGACCAGTCACACTCACTGATGAAGGCACGCGGAGTGTGAGAATGTCTGTTCCAGAGAGGCTGTCTGATCAGGGACCTTGTCAATTGGGAAACTATGGGAAAAAGGGGGAAACCAGAAATAAAACGCACAGCGACACAGCCCTGACAAAGCAAACACGGATACAATGTCAAGAAACAAACTTCACCACTCACACTAATTGAAGGGCTATTAATTGTGCCTGTGTTTCTGGGATACATGCTCAGCTTTGCTACCGGTTGAACCTGCACATGGGAAAGTGCCAGCCATGTCTCCCAGCATGGGCAGAGACCCCGGGTCTGCAAGCTGGGCTCCAGTGGCCGGGCAGGAGGGCCCTGGGTGGCTGGAGGAGGCAGCCATGCGCTTCTACATCACTTAACAAAGCTGCTTTAAAGAGTGATTAATCCCATCCATCCTAAAATAGGTGCCTGGGAAACAGGGTCTTCCAGAGAGTACCTCATGTTTGAATCTGAAATGGCAAGCCTAAAAAAACCCAGCTAACAGGGGTTACAAGAAAAAGAACACATGACAACACATAAGAAAAAAATGGAGACAGATACAGGCTTTAGGGGTTTTATAGAACTGACCCTGCTGAGCCTGTAGCTCCTTGACAGACACAAGATAACTTTTGCAGGTCACTGATGAGGCTGGCACTGTACTAACAACTGCTACCCACTTTCTTCCATCAGGTATGGAAACAGGGATTTCACGAGTAAAGAATTTGGGCCTTTGAATCTGTGAGGAAATTTTCCAATTCTGTAATTGGAACGGCAAAAACGTGGCAGATAAGCTTTGAATCAACTGTCCGTACACCCAGCTGCTCTGCTTGGCCCCCTTTATTTACTGCCTTTTTTTCCCCCTCTCTCCATTTTCAACTGTTTTACTTGAATCCTCTCCATTTAATTTTCCCCAGTGGTGACTTTAGGGATGTAACAAGCATGAATACTCAGCTTTGTCAGTGTCTGCTCTTCGCACTCCACCAAGTAGGACTTTTTGGATGACACAGACAATATGCTCAGCACAAGCAGCTGAGAAAAGCATTATCTGACAGGCAACCAGTGGGTCACCATTAGAATTCTATAGAAGCACTTTTAAGTGCGGAAATCAAGTAATCTCCAAGCACCGTGGCGTGTTCGTCTGAAAGAGAATCAAGTGAGGGAGTCAAGCCCAGGGAAGGAAACCAAATGAGGAGCAGGTGTCCCACGAGGCGCTGCTGAGAACAAATAAGCTGCCACCGGATTGAGGCGATTTAAAAAGCAGCAGTTAAGAGGAGTGACAATTGAGAATAGCCATACTTAGCCAAACAGATGGGAGCACGCTCCTACGTTTGCTAAGAGAAATGAGAGTCTGAAGGTGGGATGCTGTGGCTGACACCAGGGAGCTGAAGTCGCAAGTGGACCTTGAGTTCAGTGTCTTGTGAATCATGACCGAGGACTGGCATGGGAAGCTGGAATGAGATGAAAGGATTACACCCTGCTGTTATTTGTAACGCTGTGATATTCTGCAGATCAGTTACTTTAACTTATTCTTCCCATACAGTGAAGAAGGACCCATACAGAAGATGCAGTTCAGACTTCTTGCCTGCACAAGGCAGCCCCCCGCTATATAAACAAACTTCTGGGAACCCTTGTGCTGAAAGTGTTGGCAAGTTTTCCTTAATGCTACAAGAAAACTACCCAACCTGCTAGTTATATCACATAAAAAATAGCTTTTTAAGTATGTTGTCAATGCCCAGCACATGACAGTATTGTGATGAATAATACTAGGCCAGGCCACAAGTATGTAGGATAATTACAATCTCAGCCTGAATCTACCCTAAAAATACGTGCTGCACAACATGTCCAGGGAGAGAAAAATGTGCTAGAGACCACAGGGCTATGGAAGACTAAGAAAACAAACTTTGAACTCTAGGTAGCGTACCAATACCTGGAAATTGCAGCTAGCTGGATGATTATCAGCCTTAAATTTCACTTCAGGTACCACGCTTCTGAAAGCAGAGGTGATATCAGATTATGCAAATCCCAATTCTAGCAAACAAAACCTGGCTACAGCACTTTAGGACTGAGTACTATAGAGTTCCCATCTTGTTTACCTAGCACTAAGCACCATAACTATCACTTACTTTCTCTTTGTTTTGCATTTATCTATCTCACCTTACTTTAGCGTCTGAAAAAATCTCCAAAGTTTATTTCAGGATAAGCTAACTTGCCCTCCTAGAGATGCCAGCAGAACTGGAGCCTTCCTTACACAAATAACTCAGTTACAGGTATTTTAATTTAATAGGTTAAGGGCAAATTAATCTCATCCAAACATGGATTGTAGCCAGATGTACTGCAGCAATCCACTCTGATGATGGCAAAACGTTGAAAGGTGTCGAATCTTGCCGAGTAACTGTTTCACATATGTATTTTGTCCCTTTGTTGTTCTGTCTTAGATGTCCTTGCTGTCCTTTCCACTACTTTTCCAGATGTTGATGCAACATAATTTGTGTAAGGGCAAATGTTTTCTGCTTAGTCCCCTATTCTTTTCCTAATAATTCCTGGCATTCCACCAGTTTTTCCTAGGGCAGACATCCAACATTTTCACTGAGCAGTCTGCTATGACTCCAGGCTATGCTCCATGAGAGGCAGCAGCCAGTTTGGAGCCCGTCATTCTGTGGTCTCTTGCCTCTATTGACTTTCAATTACATCTGCCATTTTATTCCCTGCAATTCAGTAGAGAGCCTTCTTCAGCTCTTCACAGTGAGCACTCACTTTTACTGGATAGCTTAGCATACCTACAACTGACCATTTTTGTCAATGCCCTGCTTTATTAATTGTAAACAAGTTCTTGCTAAAAGCTGAATAAGGAAACAAAAAAATCTGACTGAACTACCTATCTCCTGAACTCGAAAGAGTTCCTCCTTGGAGTCTGGTTAGCAAATTTCCCTGGATTTAGACCCATGACAGACTACTGTGGTCCTGTAGAGAGGGCAAGGTACTGGGAGGGATCGATTCACAAATCGAGAGAGGTCACAGTGCTAGACTGGCTATTGTGTCTCTTGATAGAGGCTCTCCTGGTTGCCACATAACCCTAGACATCTTCCAAAGACCTTGCGCCGGGTCAGCCTGGTGTTCAGTCCCAGATCTCCCAGCTAGCCATGCTTGGTGCACAATATTCTGAAGCCAGAAAGACAGAGATGCTGCCCTACAAACATCTGAGGTGTTGCATGAGAGCAGCAAAAGGCGAGGATCAAAAGAGTGAGTCCAAATATTAGCCTGTGAGGCCTGCAGGAAGCCAGATAGATAGATAATTTTTAAGTAAGCAGTCACTGAAGCCTCCTATGTAAAGAAAGCAAAGAAGAGATTAGTGCAAACATCCTACAGAAGCCAGGGTGCAATGACAATGAGCTGCCCAACGGGCTGGGACACGCCAACGAGCACAGCAGGTATCGCATGGACTGCGGGTCTTTTCTGTTACATTTACTCACTTTTGGTTACTTTTTAAAAAAACAAAAGG